CGCTGCTCTGCAACCTCATCGGCTTCGCCTACCCCGCGTACATCTCGTGAGTGGGCCCGGCGGGGGCAGGGGGGGGCGGGGGGCGCCTCCTCCCGGGGCCGCCCTGAAAGCAGGCGCCGCTCGCCTGCGGTGGGGAGGTCGCGGAGGATTAGCGAGTTTGGCTTCGGGGAACGTCCCCGAGCCTTTTGCCCCTTTTGGCCATGACTGTTACTTAACGGGGATACTGGCTGAGGGAAATTCGGTTGCACAATCACAGCCCTTTGCTGGCCCAGGGCTGTTGCTGCGGTGATCAAGGACCCTGCTCCAAAACGTTGCTCCTTTGCCTGTCTCCCTCTCTGTTGTTCCCTCCCACGCCCGTTTCTGTTAGCCGTTGTAGTCCCTGGGTACTAAGTAAAGAACAAGCTTTCTTCCCATCTGGCAGGGCCTGCGTAATGAATTACAGATGGCAGACGTTCAGCAATTTTCGTACTTGAAAATCTGTTCCCATAGCGCATCGTGCTTCAGCTTTGACTTTGTAGCTTTGTCATCTTCAATAGGAAGCGGGATCACTGTTATCTTATTTGCTGCAGCAACGGTATTTGATAAAATATATATTGATAGTTCTAGCTGAGTGCGCTCTCGGATGTGGCAGGAGGGCGCTGATGCAGCGTCAGCATATGTTTAATGCAAAGCTCTGTGCAAGGGTCCGGAGACAGAGCTGCGTTCAGGGACGGTTTGTGCTCCAAAATAGCCTAGCTGATGAGAAGGTGGAACTGAAGACACTGAAGCACCTTTTAGGAGTAAAACACCCTAAAGCGTTTCATTTTGTCAAAGGATGGCGCAGGAAAGCCTCCTTAGAAGTTTTGTTTTTAAGAATATTGGATATCTTTCATGAGCATTAGATTTTTAAGTTATTACAGTAAAATGGATTTCCTGTTAGGTAAAAGCACAGTGGAGTATGTTGCAAAAGGCTTTGGAAATGTAGTGTATAAAAACTTCTGTGTAGCCAAATATGTTCATAAAATGGAAGTTCTTCCCAACTGTACTAATAGATTGTTAAAACACAGTGTTTGCCTTTTAAATAATGGTGCGTAAATGCAGTCAGCAACTTTAAAAAAAATATGTTCTTTGTACTTAGGTCCTGGGCAATACAAAATATACTGCTTTGCTTGTTCCTTCTGTTATATTTTTCAGCTATATTGAAGATTGACTTAGTTTTAGACTTGGACAAGATTAAAACTACCTCTTTAAACATCTTAAGATTGCAGCGTTTAGAAATATAAAACTTTTTTCTTACAATGTCACTGGTGGGCATTAGTTTAGAAGATTATAGGCCAAGAACAACTCCAGAGAAACTTAGATTTTTATTTTTATAAAGCAATTTATATTTAAATTTTATTTTTTCATTAAAAGCTGAAAGTAAAAATATAGGTTTTCAGTCTATAAGACTTCAAAACCTTAAAACAGTTGCATAGGAATTGTATTTATGTAATAATGTATGTCTGAGGTCACTTTGATATCAGTACTGTATAAAAAATATATCTAAATTTTTTAATTTGTTTTAAAATTTGGTTTTGGGCCTATATTTTATACTTAAAATATGCCTTTATTCTCTCTGTCTTTGCATATGTCTTCTGACTATGTGAACGTACAAATGAGCACAGAGAACAGTTGCATACTGGCAGCTTTGTTGAATAAACTGATAAAAGCTCTAAGGGCTGTGAAGGCAAGATAGTACCAAATAAAATGCAGATAATGAGTTTTCTCCTCTGATTTCTTTCTCCTTCCATATTTGGAAAATTTGTTTTACTTTGAGTTTATCTTTGTGCAATATGTCTACCGTTCCACATGCAGGAAGATGTTTTAAATCTATCTTAACGTAAAAAGTTACCTCTTTCATGTTAGCACTGTGTTTTCTTTAGGGGCGAGTGCATGTGGCATTGTCCTTGGCTGCATGTTCTGCTTCAAAAATAATAATTATCTGAATAACACGCACATGAATACAATGCCATTTCTGTTTTTTTTCACTTTAATGCTCTCACTTTAGGTATCTTTTTAATGCTAAAATATTTTTAGGAGAAACTTAGTTATAATCTTATATTAAAATTTTATTTAAAACGCATTTAATCCATTACAGTGGTTTTGGAACTATGTATCCCTTTAGCTATTTAATAGCATTATTTATGTGTTGGTACTATGCACTTCTCAACTTCTTTTTTTCCATATCAAAATTAGATTAAATACATCTTTATTGCTTAAAATCAAACCTGGAGCATTATCAGTATCTCTTACTGAACAAAGTTAAGGTAGCACTTGCATTGCTGAGTGTGCCTTACGCCAGGGTTTTCCAGTGGCAGCCTGTGGATGAAGTAGCCTGCTGACAGCACAGCGGGGCTTACTCCCTTGCCCTCATTCCCAAATGCAGAACTGGGCTGTAGCGTTTTCCCATCCGTGCTCCTCTGCCCTAAACCTTCTGGCAGTCCAGCGCGGGTGCAGAGGAGACACGGGGAAGGTGTGCTAATGTGCACACCATGGTCCCATTCTGCTTCCCCTTTTTCGAGTGTAAGGTGCATGAACTCAGGAGAGGAAGTATTGCCTTTGCCAGTTTGTACAGGGTTACAGGGTCAGCCTGGCAGCAGGGGAAGATGGTGGCCTTCAGTCTGCTCTCTAGCACGGGCCGCTTAACTGTGAACAAGAACAAGAATCCTCTTTGGTGCTCGCCCTTATACTGGGCTAAACCACGATGAGATAAAGCTGAATTACTGGAGAGATTCTTGCTTCCCTTTCCACTGCTCCGGATCCTGTACTGCCGTTAGGGTGCTGCTGAGTGCTGTTGCTCATGCTTGCAGACCCAAACCCCAAGGAGGGCCACTGGGGATGGTTTGCTTATTCCTCACTTCTATTCATTCTGGCCCTCTTGAAAAGACAGTTGAAGAGCCTGCTCTGTGATTTGGTAACAGTAGCGAGATTTACTTCCTAGCGTTGGGCACAACGTCAGCTCTCAAGTGACTCTTCCTTTAAGTAAAACTAAGCGCTGTGGCTCCTGGAAGAGGTCAGGGAACAGAGGCAGAAACTGAAAGTATTAGGCAGTGTTAATTTGATGTTTACACAGGCATTTCAACAATGGGACCAACTGTGAAACATCTCAGAAGGGTACTGAAAGGGAAAAAGAGATTACTTTTTCCCAGTTAACTTACACTGATCTATTGCATAATAGAAGACAGCATCATTTATGTATTGTGGTTGACTGAATTGTTTAAAATAAGAAATAACTACATAATTCGTCAGGCTTCTGCCTTTTCAGAAGGAAAGACGCTCATTAAATGTCAGGAAAGATGTGTGTTCTGCAAGAACTGTGAGAGAGATCACATCCTATCCTTACAGCTTGACTACAGTGCCAAGCAGGCTACTGAATGAGTGACCCATTAGGTATGTTCCAAGTCTAACTGTTAGTTTAGGATTTTAGTATTGGATTATATTGGTCATGATAGTTACTGTCTCTTCTCTATGCCTAAAAGAAAGAATAGTAGATTAAAAACAAACCCAGAGAAGGATGCTCAGCTCATAATTCAGTCTGTTCACATATGAAACGTGAAGTTTTATGGATGTGCAAGTTTCTGACCATCAGGCCCTGTATAATTCTATAGTTTATTTTCTTATCACTTATGTTGTTCTTTATATTCAGTGTATGTGCGTGTACGTGTGTGTGCGCCTGTGCTATGCTGCAGGTGCAAATTTCAGTGGAGAAGCGCTGGGGAGTCTAGCCCCTTCGTTTGGCCTAGCTGATAAGGTGTGTGTGACCTTCAGTGTTACATGACACCGCTGCAGCTGTGTGGGTGCCCGATTTCACATCAGCCGGTGCTGTGTCAGCCCCATGGAGTGCTAAGGAATGCACAAAGCCAGCCCAAGGCGAGGGGGACTCCTTGGTTAATATTGTAACTGTTTTGCGCAGGCACAGCTGTTTCCCTCCCTCCCTCCCCCTTCACATTTAGCTTTGCTTTGTGCAAGTCTATGGTAGGTTTATACATGAAGGAGTTTTCTTCCTCCAGTGATACAAAATCTTCCAAAAATCCAAGTCTTTATGCTCTGTCATCATCGAGGGTCTACTCATGAGGCTCTTACGCAGGCAAAATTGAGAAGTGTTTCTTCCAAGATTATCTGGCTGCATCCCAGAAAGTCAGACAATTAGGATTCAAGTTTGTCATAAAATTCTAGTCCTATTCCCTCCAATTCTGTTCAGTGCTCGTGAAGAAATAAAGTAACCTGTCTGAAACTGAAATCTAATGTTCATTTGCAGCCTTTTGTGATGGCAGTAGACCAGCATTTAAAACTTTGCCACAAATGATGGAAGCAACTTTTTATATCTTTACTGAGCTTTAACTGCACAAGGGAATAGTCAGCCTAGATGGAAGAAATTACTATTGGCAGTTTTTAAATAACTGCCAATATTTTCATTGCTTCCCTAAACTTGCCAGGGTTAGTCTGTTTAAATGTAGCTCCACCCATAACCAGTGGTGGTTAGCAGCCGCCACTAAAAAAAAAAAAAAGAACGAGCAGGAAAGAAGTCTTTGATGACTAAGAAATGCATGCAAAGGATTTGCTGAAATTTCACAAGTGCTGTCACGTCAGTGTAAAAATTGCCAAGATGAAAATGGCTTTGGGCAGTAAAAATGCCTGAACTTATTACTGGTGTCTTGAAGGGAGAAAAGCAATATAGCACAATCATACCTCTGCTTTGGCTAATTTTATGCTGTTGCTTCAATTTAGCTGGCTTTGCTGTGTAAGTGCTGCTCATGTCATTTTATGTAAGACTTAATCTAAACTGAATGTGCAGAGGTAGAAACAAGCAATTCAAGTCCTTATTTGAGTATTGTTATAGTCTTGAGCTGCCTTCCTAGTTCCTTTGCCTCTTCCTTTGGTCAAGGATGCTTTGAAAGTGTAAAATCATTCATGTATTTGTTGAGAGATAAGGCAGCAAATTTGTTTTCTCTAAAAAGAAAGGCTTTCTTTTTTTCCCCACGTGGAAAATGCTGCATGCTATGTTAATATTCTTGAGTAATGTTCCAT